CCTTTGCAAACGTCATACGAATAAAGCAAGTATAGATATTACTTTCCGATACACCTTTTAAACAGACCTTTAGTGAGATTTTTCATTCTCTCGCCTTTCTATCATTACCTTTATTGCATTTTCCTTATTCCTTATCCGTTACATCTTCCTTTTTTCATCTTCCAGGTCGACTGTGGCTCTCGTCCTCTGCCATCTTAAGGAGATCAAGTCTTTAACACGTGTCTTTTAATGAAATATATTTTTTATATGCAATCAATGTAGTTTTACTTCTATCGTTGCCCACAGTGAGAGAGTGTGTGTGTATTTGTGTGTATACATATATATATGTATATGTGTATGTTTATATGTATGTGTGTATATGTACATATATACAAATATGTGTATATATATGTATGTATATATATGTTTATACATACACATACACACACACACATGAATATATATATATGCATAATATACATATATATATATGTATATATATTTATGTATATATACATATATATATATACATATATATATATATTTATGTATATATATACATACATACATATATATATATATATATATATATATATATTTATGTATATATACATATATATGCATACAATATACATGTATAAACATGTATACATACATATTCATCATTATTATCATTATTACTATTAGCGATGATGATAATACTGATGATAATAATGATAATGATTATCATTATTAATTCCACCAAAAAGGTTATGATTTTGGTAGCGAACAAGACTTTATGAAGTCAAAAACACCTGAAAAGCCATTGAAACTTTAACACTGTTGGATATTGTACAAAATGTAAACATGAACACGTGTTATTCTAAAAATAGCCTGGTCTGGAATCCAACATATTATATAAAATACCTTTCATTCATTCCTTTAGTGCATGGAGGTATTAATAAAAGTAGATATACTTAATTCCTTCAAGCTGAGCAAAAAATACAGGCCTTTTGCTTGACTCCCACTGCGAGCAATTCCACTTGAGAATCATTCACGCATAAACATAATCGCTCACTTTTCTCATCCACAGGGCTATTTTGATGACTGTTCAACGAAGATATAACCATTAGAATAATTATTTATTTTCTTCCTTTCTGACTTCTGAAAAGACCAAAATAATCGACCATATTCACAAAGCATTATAGTCTGAATCAGTTGTTATGCGGAGTCTATGCAATAGAAATCTCAGTGCTCTGTGCAGTCATCAGTTTTATGTTACGTGCAGCGTCGGTAAAATACTTTACGCAATGACTGACATTACGACAAATCAATGACCTTGGGGGGGGGGGAGGCACACTTCCCCCCCGTGCCACCACGGAAGCCCCGCCTCTAACTATAGATTCTCGACTTTTACATGTTTTCCATTCGTCCATCGAAGGATGACTGGGTACCCATCGCATCGAACGTGAGGGCGAAAGTCCAGTGGACTGAGTCCATCGATGGGCATATTCCATTAAAAATCGCTGGATTTCCCGAACCATGGGTAGCCTGACCGTACCTTTAGCCTAATTTGATGCTATTTTGGTGGTGATCCGGTTCATAATGCTGATCCAGATTTTTTATTTTATTTTATTGCATCAGTGACTCTATTGCTTGGCGGATATGCGCTCTCTGAGTGCTTCTAGTTATTATTACTGTCATTACTTTTATCATTATTATTATCCTTATTCTATTGTTATCATTGTCTTTCTTATTATTTATTTCTGGTATTGTCATTATGATTATCATTATCATTATCATTACTATTATTATCAATACTACTACTATCATCATCATGTTTATGTTCACCACTATTTTTACCAATTCTATTGTAATCCTTATCATTACTATCCTTATTTCCACCACAGTTATTTACCACTATCACCATAGTCATCATAATACTTATTACTACCATTCGTAAGGGAATGATAAATTTATCTACAATAGTATTTGAATATCAATCGTTTTACCACGATTCCCTTTACCACGGTTAGAGTGGAATGCACAACCTGTACCGGTGACATTCACTCGCAGACTTTGATCGAAAAGAATGACCAAATTTAAAGATTATGCTGAGAAAAACAACAGTTGGTACCTTTCTCTTAAATAGACTTTGCGTCACGGAGAATATCGCATGCTGTTGTTCTTCATTCACTTCTTCTTTTAAATTGTTTAACTTTCTCAGTAACAATGCCTTGTGGAGGGAAACCATGTGTACCTTATATATGGTTACAAAAATTGAATGTGACCAATGAAAATACTTACATTACATGCAGGGTGTACTATATGAACACTTCCTGATGACTTCAAGTTACTAGGGACAACATTATTCATTTTAGTTTGGAAGAATTTCAAGCTATGAACTGCAATGTTAATGAAAACAAAAATAATATAACACCTTGATTAAACGTATTTAAAAAAAGAAAAAAATTGCAATAGGCTTGACCCAATTGATATTCATATATATATATATATATAATATATATATATATATATATATATATATATATATATATATATATACATATACATATACATATATATATATATATATTATATATATATATATATATATATATATATATATTATATATATATATATGATAGGGCTACTACTATTATTACTACTACTACTACTACTACTACTACTACTACTACTACTACTACTAATTATAATAATAATAATAAAAATAATAATAATAATAATAATAATAATAGTGATGACTGAAGTGATAATAACAATAGTAGTGATAAAAAGGTATAATAGCAATGTAATAAAAGTAATAATGATAACAATAATGACAATAATAACAATGATAATAATAACAATAATAGTAATGATGATAATAATAATAACAATTATGAAAATGATAAAAATAATAATGATGATAACAACGTCTTTCTTTCTCATGTACAGTCTAAAACTACAAACGACAGAGCAGATTTTCACTTTGACGGGCAGTTGCGTTCGTAGAAAGTGTCAAATTCATTCGTACATAACGTTATAAACAAAGGTTTTTATGGAAAAATGGAAAATAAGTGACTATTTCAGCTGAAAAAACAACTTTTACATACATTTTTCTTCGATGGAATACACATTTGATATATATGTAAACCATTCTACTTCACAAAAAGTAGAAAGGAATGAAATTCAACAAGAAATAACATTCTAATAAGACAAACATCTCGATCGGAATTGTCACATATTTTCCTGCTTTCCAAATGAAGATGTAATGTAGGTAAAAAAAAAAATATATATGTATTTTCCCTATGCCTCTCCTCTACTCACATTGCAAGACCGTCCTTAGCAAAGGTTATCAACTGGTATATATTTCACATCTTTCCCTATAAGGCAGACATGGGGCCGGTTTCCCTGACAGCAAGACAAGGTCCAAGTTATATACTGATGACAATATCTGCTATCTCTTTTGATAATCTCTGAATTCATTTTTTCATTAGAAAGGATACAGAATACTTTATAATCTTTGATTTTTTTTTTTTTTTTTTTTTTTTTACATCAGAAGGAATACAGAATACTTTACATGTTGATCGAAGAAAAGTATGTGGTGTTGATGGTGCAATGCGTCTATGAAAGGGTATACGGATAGGCCTATATGCTGTTTACTTACTGTTTACTTAGGAATAAACTTTTCTTGGCTACTGACCCTTTATTAGTAAAAGTGGATTTTATATCGCATGTCACCTTGGAAATTAATAAACTACATTCATGTACTGACTCTTTAATAATAAAAAGTGAATATTTTATTGTTTTTCACCTCGAAAATTGATAAAATACATTCATGTACTGATCCTTTATTAACAAAAAGTGAATCGTTTAGTTTTGTCACCTCGGAAATGAATGAACTAAATTCGTGTATTTTCATCTTCTTATGATTATCCTTTTCACTCCTGCTGAGCATGAGTATGCATATTCATCGCCAACTTCAGATTCGCAAATCAAATACAGAAAGTCATTAATTTCAGCCTCATATGGTTGTTTCAGAGGAACAAAGTTCACTCTCTAGTTTCATACAGAGTTTGCTCTGAAACGAAGCACCAATTTAATCAATTACTTCGTGTCTTCTCCGGAGACAGGCGGACGAATAGATAGAAACAGAGACAAATATAGAAAGAGAAAGACCGACAAACAAAGAGAATGACAGAAAGAGAAAGACGTATAGCCACAATTTCCACGTTTCCTTGTTCCACATTTTCCAAAATCACGCACAACTACCCATCACCCACTCTCCGGCACCCGTTCCTCTCCCCCCCTTCATATTCTCAACTCTTTTTCGTCTCTCACCGCTTTCTCTTCGCCTTTTTTCGTGTGCCATAGATGAAACTCAGCTAGCAGGCCTTCGCGAACTAGAATCTAAAGTCGCTGCTTCTTTGTCCCACGCGCTTGGCCATGGCAGAGACCTGGAACCCGAAAGACGTGGGAAAAAAGGTCGGCAAGGTGTACTGAGACAACCTGATGGCAGGATCATCCTGAGGAAAGCGAGCCAGGTGGCCATATAGCCTGAGTTGCGATCACGGATTGTGCAGATAACAGCTGCGCCAGTCTCACGGTGCAACGTTTGGTTGGACACATGGTCCCGCCAACAGTACCCCATGATCTGGCGCAAGGACCTATTACAAAAGGCTTCAAGACGAGCCTCCAAGGCACAGGACAATGTCCAGGTTTCGCTACCGTATAGCAAAACTGCATATCAAGGCCTTGAAAACCGTAGCTTGGTCCTTCTGCACAGTACCGACATCTCCAAATACTCTTGTTGAGAGAGTTCATGACCCCTGCTGCCAGGCCAATCCCGTCTGCTGACTTCATGTCTGACAGCCCAGAGTTATGAACTACACTACCAAGGTATGTAAAGCTCTCTGTGACTTCAATGTCCTCGCCGCAAGCACGTACCGACTGAACAGGTTCTCCTAACAAGTCCCCAAATTCCTGGACCTTGGTCTTGTCCAGGAGACCTCTAGACCCAGGGGCTTCGCTTCATTGC